TGAGCAAAGTTTCGCAGAAACTCGTTTGCCGAAATGTCAACGCTGTTTGTGAAACATCGCCGCAAATAACGCGCACTCGTACAAATCGTGTATCTCTCGATTGCAAATAACATTTCGTATTCAACAGATCAAAGCGATTTTGGGAAATGTTATCAAAATTATGCTTCTCTTTACTTTCAAGCTTTTTCTTTTATTGTTTTCTGCACTACACCGCAATCTTCGTAGGTTATATCGGCGAGCGCAGCGACTCGAGCCGGCCCGCTAGAGAATTGCATCATCCATATAGGGAGGATCAGTGCCATCTATCTAATTAGTGTATATACCTTTTATGCATTTAATTATGCTGCAATAAGTGTCGCCCTTTATCATGGGTTTCTCTCAGATTTCCGCCAAAACGTCTAGAATAGAATGTTCTAGAACATTCTGGAACAGCAGTGAGTCACCACCACTATAAAAGGGTCAGCGTGGGGGTGAACCGGCCAGTGGGCAGTGCAGATTCGGTGAGGTAAGTACTGACTTGTGCCGCTCTGCGGTTCAAAAGAAAGATCAGTTTCAATATAGAATTCTAACATTTCTAACGTACTTGCATAAGAATTCGTCCCATAAATATTGCAATCAAAATTATCAGCTGCTTGCAGATTATTGTCGCCGTTATGTGACAGAGTTCTAAAGCCTGCGAATTTTCGGAGATTATTTTTTTTGTCAGTCAAACTGTTCGTCGCTCGCGGACTTCATGAAAAATCGCTTGCTTTTCCTGTGTTCCCCTGTGCATTGTGATTTAAGAAATCCTCTTGACATCGCTAATTGCTTCAAGGGCAAGAAATCGCGTTCGAAATAAAAGACTATATATATATATATGGTACTTATATTAGTCATCTGATGAGATTCACTAGAACTTGAATTTTACTGCGTGAAGATAAGAACTAATGATAAGAATTAATGATAAGAACTTGATGATGGTTTCTGGAATGAATGGAACTTGATGACGTTTTCTTTGTTTTTCTTCTGCAAAAATATTAAGGCATTTTTTATTTTTTAAATAAATACTAGCTTGTTGGAGTATATAATATATAGGGTGGCCTTGAATGTTTTGGCCACAGACTTTGAGATTTTGTGGGAACTTTAATTCTGAACAAAAAGTTTTCTATATATATGTATATATATAAACATGAGTCGAAAAATGCTTAAAGCACATTTGAAATTGTCATTTCAAAACCTATTGAACATATACATATATCACTGGTAAAAAGATATAAAGGTATATCACACTTCTTTTAATTTTATTTGAAAAATAATTTAATTTTTTACAACTTTAATTTGTTTTAAGATTTATTTTAAAAAACGTATACTTTTCATGATATTTATGTAAAATAACCGTGAAGTTTTTGAACAATAACTCTTTGAGGAAGCATTTTTTTATCCATGTTTATATATATGTATATATACCAAGTGGCAAGGTGACGTTAAATGACGTTTTAATAACGTCTTATTGTCGTCAGAAACGTCTTTAAGACGTTATTACGTCTTTTGACATCACCTTGCTACTTGGGTGTATATATATGTATATATATATAATTAGACCTTTTGTTCAGAATTAAATTTCCTATATACAAAATCTCAAAGTCTGGCCAAAACATTCGAAGCCATCCTATCTAATTCTGATTTTTTTCTTATATTTATTTGCCAAAAAATTTTATCTTGAAAAATCTTTAAGATGTAGAATGTTTATAGTTTTTTAAATTACCTATGCTAAGAAAAGTTTAAAAATATAAAAAATTGTAATTAATGTCATTTTACTGTAAGTACAACTTTATCACAAATTACTTTTTATTCAATGACTTTAATTGAGAATTAATTTCATTAAATTGTTTATACTAATTTTTATGAATATATTAACCCACAAACACACATGTATATCTTCAAAAAAAATCAGAAAAATATTAAACAAAAATTTTTTGTCTTTATGTTGTTTAAATAATATGTATTTATTTTTGTTTCAATAAGAAAATTGATATAGATGTTCAAGTAGTATCTCCATTTACTTAGCAAGCTCTTTCTTTTTGTGGGTACCTATAAAAGTACTAATAAAAGCTAAATAGCATTCTAGATAAAATAAATTTTTATTAGGCTCATTTTAGGAGAATGTGTGTGTGTGTGTGTGTGTGTAAAAGGAACTTTTATGCCTGCGTACGTAATAGAATTTAAAAGTTGCATTGATAACCAGTAATTTTGCGTAATCTTTAATAATCTTTGTCAAATATATATATGTTTGGATTATAATAATAATTTGCATATTGAGTTAATCATATTATGATTATGACAAAATATAATGTAAGAAACAAATATGATTACATTATCGATATCCATTAATTTTTACAAGTTGAATTTCTAGTCAAGTTATATACATACATTATGCGAATCACATACATTTGTTGCATAAATTATAATTATAATATAAGAATGTATATAATTAATTATATATGCAAGTTATTTCAAAATCATACTAATGCGTTGAAAGATTATTATTTTGCTATTCATTTTAAAATGTAAAAATATATGTAAATTTGAATATATGGATATTTTTGAAGGGATGACAGCGGAACAACAATTGGATCTAAGTCGTTCATTTAAGTGCTGCGCAGGCTTTACTGGGGAAGAGTATACCGCAATTACATATGAAAGCATATGTAATTGCGGTATATGTTTCGATAAAGTAAAAGATGCTGTGACAACCAAATGCGGCCACTTGTTCTGGTAAGTTTTTATTTGATAATAACATAGCACATCAAATGAAATATTATCTATGATTTGAATAATATAAATAATAATAACGTAGCTGGCCACATCTGCATGAGTGGTTAAAGACCAACCAGGTTTGTCCAAAATGCAGGACTCCCTTAAACCGAAAAGACTACTTTGCATTCCATGAATGTGGTGATATAGAGCATGAAGATCGGTATAACTTATTCTTTTTCTATCACAATTGAAAATTATAAATATTACGTTAAATAATATAAAATAAGTATTAATCAGTAAAAATATGATCTGCTTTTAGGAATGACTTTCCACCACGTCCGACCTTTCAAGGTTTAGAGGATGTTGAAATCGATGTTGAGCATGTTGAGCATGAAAACTGGTATAATTTATTCTTTTTATATCAAAATTAAAAATTATAAATATTATGTTAAATAATATACCTATATAAAATAAGTATTAATTAGTAAAAATATGATTTGTTTTATGCATCATGTGCCACCACGATCAATTTAAAGGTCGACAGAAGCCAATCTCAGCGATGTTGAGCATGAAGACTGGTATAACTTATTCTTTTTTCATCAAAATTAAAAATTATAAATATCACGTTAAATAATATACATACATAAAATAAATATTAATTAGTAAAAATATGATTTGTTTTATGCATAACGTGCTACCACGGCCAATTTAAAGGTCAACAGAAGCCAATCTCAATGATATTGAGCATGAAGACCGGTATAACTTATTTTTTTTTTATCAAAATTGCGAAAATTATAAATATATTACGTTAAATAATATAAATTAAGTATTAATTAATAAAAATATGATTTGCTTTTTTAGGCACAATAACGTGATGGCATGGCTAATGGCCAATCAAAGTTCAGAGCCTGCAGAGGCATATCTCAGCGATGCTGAGCATGAAGACCGGTATAACTTATTCTTTTTCTATCAAAATTAAAAATAATAAATATTACGTTAAATAATATAAAATAAGTATTAATCAGTAAAAATATGATTTACTTTTTAGGCATAACGAGTCTTCACCGAGGTCTGCAACCTTTACATTTTTTTTAACAGCCGTTCTCATCGTCATCGCCACGATCGTCGTGATTTGTGTCATTGTGATCACCAAATCCAGCGACTACTTCATCTTGGAATCTGGGGAAAACGAAAAGCGAAACAAAAAAAAACGAATAAATATTGAGCGAGTTGAATAAAATAACAGAGAAAATAGCGAAAACACATATTCAAATTAAGTGAAATCGATCTACGTGAACTTGCTACTCTACTTTGGAAAAACATTTTTTTAATATGTATTAAATTAACCTTATACTACTTTTCTTTATTCATATGTAAAAAATAAAAATGAAAAATAAAATATAGAGATGGAAATTGGCGCAGTAATTGATACGCAATTTAATTGTGTCAATGATAAAAAGTTATGTCCCCACTACTGATATTTTGGAGAAAAAGAGAGAACGATACATACAAATCGAGTTACTTCACTCTTTCTAAATTGATAACGGCAATTTCAAGGAGTGCGCGGTCTGTAAGTAATTCCTACGTCTATTGTCTATTTTCGGATTTCGCGCGCACAATTTCATGTCGCACCTCGCGCGCCTGCGCCGTCGCCGGCGGAGCAATGGCGGACGATGACGACTCGCGCGAAGAGGTGCCTGTTTACGCTGTTATCGACGCGCGTCCACCATGGCTCGTGTGACTCTGCCGTGTGACTGCCGTTGATCTCTCACTCCGCAGTCCGCATTCGTGAGACGACGCGAGGCGGGAGGTGGTGATATCGCAGTCTTATATACATTCTGTGGTGTCCGCGTTCCGGAGAAAGCTGGGAGAAAAAAAGGAAGGAAACCTGGACGGCGCAAGGATAATGCGCGACCTCGGCAGGACGACGGGAGTGGTAAAGGTGCTGGAATAAACTTTGGGAAGTGTGTCACTGAGACCCGGGTTATCTCGTGTGTCGCTTGCGCAGCGCCGATGTCGAGCGACAGATGAACGGGACTCGACCCGCGAACGTGTCGACGTCGCCCGCGACACGTCGGCGAACGGACACCGGAGAACGAGTGAGTGTCGCGGACGCCGTTCCCAGCTGCGGGCCTCTCGAGAGGATCGGCGCTTTTGACCCTTTTTGTATTATTTTGCATTTGTAAATTTCCCTTTTCGAGCCGAGAGACCTAGGTACTTGTCCTTTACGCAGGAAATAGCTGAAAAGACAAAAAAAAAACAGGCCGAGCGATACAAACCCAGTCCGGATTTGTTCTCTGCGAGTCTGCGCTTTTTTCTCTTACGCTTTCTTGCACATTTTTTGACACTGTCGCTATAAAATTCCCTTCCGGATCCTCTCACCTTGCTCGGCTGGAAAACAGCTGTCTTTCTTTAAGCTGATATTCTCTCACGCTACACTCTTGTCGCATTGTACATTAACCGCGTGATTGCGCGTAAGATAAAAAAAACGTGCGCGAAAGAGCATTCGATGACATTTAACTTACCCATGTGCTGCGTTAGAACCATTAGAAGAAGAGAGTGGATATTCAGGAGATTATTGAAGTGGTTTACTGTATTTCTTTTCTTTTATTTTCGACAAAAATTGCATTTCCATCAGTTTTCTCGACGTCACTTTTGTGAATACTTGATTATCATATCAATATTTGATACCTTATCATGAAGAATAAAAAAATACAATTGAGAAGAAAATCGATTTTACTTTCTGCTGCCGTAACAATTTTTACATAAGCATTTGTGTAATATTCATAATATATTTGATACTCCTGTTGGTGCGTAAAATATAAGCGCAAAAAATTTTTTTTTTTTTTTTAAGAATTATTAACAAGAACTCCATTCTTTTTCTTCTGCTTTGTAGCTGTATTTTTGTTTCAATGTTTACCACGAGACGTCAATCATCTTATCTGTTTAAATGATAAATACATAGTTCTGTTTTCAGAACGTCATAAAGCGTGACGATGCACGAGTTTAAGATAGAAGATGAACTTGACCGGCGTCATCGACGATGATAACGCTTACAGCGGACGATGAATAGTATACATTGGAGGCCGGGATAGAAGGTCTAACCGAGATACATGATCAACGGGGCCTGGAACCGACCCCGACGAGCAGGAGAATTGCAAGTTGAAGGGAATGTTCGAGAGGAATCGCGCGTCGGCGAAAAATCGTTGTAGAGTAAGTAGCCACATGTTTCTAAAGTGTAGCTCGCATAGGTCGTTGCACATGAAGAGAAAGGAATTTATTGATTGTTTCTGACATTTACAATTAGTCGGCAATTTGCCAATCACCGAACATAAGGCAGAAATAGAGGAAAGAGCCTATTAGAATCTGTTTTTATTTTAATAGAATGTCTTCTGAGGATTGATAGAGAATTTATAAATTTTTCATTGCGATCAATTGAAATGTCTTTTAAATTTTAATGCAAAAAAAGAGAAGGCAGGACAAGACAGGGGAATAGATTATATTTGAAGTGGACATATATTTTGAATATATTTTCAATATCCACTTCAATTATAATATATTTCCCTATCTTTCCCTTTCCTCCTCTTTCGCTTTAGATTAAAATTTAAGACATTTTAATATCATAAAAAAAATCTATAAAATCTCTATCAACCCTCAGAAGATATTCTATTAGATAAAAATGAATTCTAACAGACTTTCTCATTGAATTTGCATTCCTGGCGTGTTTCTTTGTGTATCAGTTTATTCCTTGATTTTTCATAAAGATAAGATACAGAGAAAGATCATTGCGTGTTTGCTGAGACATACGAGCTATGATTTACGATCAAAATATTAAAACAGTATCTTCATGTCATTAGCCAGCGATGGATTTCTGAGTCCGCTACAGTGACTCCCTGATGCACTTCTGGATCAACAAACCGGCTGGCAGGTACTACGGCTTCACCGGCCGCCGATACCTCGCCACACCTGTGCCCAAATCACACAGTAAGTGTGTCAAAGTACAATGAGTGTAAATCTAGTATTAGCAAAGTATCAAAAATGGAATATAAAATATGAAAATTATACAATTCTAGATATTGAACATATATTAAAATTATCAGAATTTTATGTATTTTAAATTTTATAAAAAGTTTATACAATTATACAATTCTAGATATCTATATCTTGAACATATATATTAAAATTATCAGAATTTTATGTATTTTAAATTTCATAAAAGAACTATACAATTATACAATTCTAGATATCTATATCTTGAACATATATATTAAAATTCTCAAAATTTTATGTATTTTAAATTTTATAAAAAAACTATACAATTATACAATTCTAGATATCTGTATCTTGAACATATATATTAAACTTATCAGAAATTTTATGTATTTTAAATTTTATAACAAAATTTTATATCATTATTATATGGAACTCACAATAATTTAGAGATTATTTATGTCGTCAAATAATTCTGTAGAACTGAAGACAAATCTGAATGAGAAAGAATTGAAAAGATGAAGGGAAAAATTTAATTAAATATCTACTTGTTTATTTTTTTCTATTTTCCTTTCTCATTTCTTTATTTGTCGCTGTATTTATTGTATTTATCTTTGCAGGCCAATGTCGGCGCGGTGGTGAACTTAGGCAAATGGTGACTCCGGTGCATCGATTCCAGGGCCCCGCAGGTAACCTCGCAGCCGGAAACGCACCGTCAGCCGGACTTAGTAATGTCAATAACTCCTGCCGAAGCATCGTCGCCCGTACGGCAACGTCCGCGCGAATCCATAACAACGAGAACCGTGCTCACGGTTCGTCGCTCAGCGCCGCCCAATTCGCCCAGCTGAACAACATCCCCAAGTAATTAATGAAAACACAAAAAGGTCTACACTAAGAGAAAGGAGACATTCTGAGAGGAACATGCTCTTCCTATATACAGGGTGACTCGCTTATACATATCTACAAGCAGAAAGATTACTTAAATGATTCGCCCTCGGTTTGCAGTTTTTGTGAGTTTAGTGCGAAGATGCGTGGCGCTGTGGCGGTTATTAAATCGTCCTTGGTTTAACGCGTTGTTCGCAGCAATGTCACCGACGCCAGCAACAATCAACTGATTCTGTCTAACGCGACCGGCGTGAACGGTGCAGAGCGGAATGGGAGCCTGCTAACGGAGAGCGACTTCGAGTTACGGGAGGCCGAGCTGGCCGGTTTCCGACTGCGCTGTGGCATCTGGTCCACCTTCGCTCTGGCAACAGTCTTCGTGGTGGGCGCCAAATTTTACTTCGGTTATCGGGTAAGCGTGATACTTCGAGAGATTTTTAATTCCAAGAGATTTTTTTCTTCTCTCCAAAGTCCTGATCAAAGTGCCAGTGCACAAACTTCCGCTTCGCGACCTTTTATTCTTCCGTTGTCCTCTCACGCCTTCTCGCTTTCTAATTCGATGAATTCTTCTCTTCGCGCGCTAACAGGGGCCTGGCCTGGAGATACTCGTGTTCCTCGGGTTAGTGTTACTGCTGCTGTCCGCCTGTCTGTACTCGATCTTGTGCAAGTACCACCGTGACAGCCATTACCGCCACAGCGGTCGGCCGGAGCACGACGCTCGTATGCAGGAGGATCACATCGTCGCCCTGACGAACGCGACCAGCATCGGTGACGGGGTTATCAGTAGAGCGACGGCGACAGTGCCGACGACGACGGTGCGGCAGAACCCGCCCCCGCCGCCTTATCACATCGCTATCCTGATACCGCCGCCGCCGTCGCCGCCGTCACTCGCACTCTCGGACGAGGCGCCGCCACCCTCTTACGACAAGGTGATGCGATGAAATCGAACCGGCGTAAAATCCACTTACTAGGACAGGTTGTCTCTCGAGAATTCTTCCCTTGACATTTTTCGTGAGTCCGTTACGCGAAGGCAGCACAAATCAATTCTCTAGGTTTAAGCAAACGTTCAC